TATATATTATATAACATTGTTGGTTAGTCGCCATGGCTACTGCATACCTTTGTGCGCTTGTTTGATGCGTTGGCCTGGTCGTTGTGGTGCAGCCGATATACATATATATATATATATACATATATATATTTATAAAAAAGTTTGTTGGTTAGCGCCATGGCTACTGCATACCTTTGTGCGCTTGTTTGATGCGTTGGCCTGGTCGTTGTGGTGCAGCAGAGTGCGTCGCCACTCCTCGACGAGTATTACATTCTGCGGTACAGGTGCAACAGAACAGTGAGTCAGCTGTGCATGGTTGAAAGGCCAGTCCACCTACCCGTGCTACTACAAAAGGTGTAGCCGACTACGTATTGTATGGCGGTTGGTCGTAGGCAATGTGTTTGAAGGACGGTAACTCGTGTGCTAATGAACGATATTTCGATGAATGTTCGTCGGCATCGGACTTTGCTAAAACCCTGTTCACTGAGACTGCGAGGCCAAATATGTGAGAACGTCTGTTGATTACGCTAGCCATTTTTTAAGTGTGCTTGATAATGCGCTGATGCACAACCAAGATAGAACCGAGATGTGCTTTACATAACAACCAAGATGTGCTTTACATAGCAACCAAGATATGCTTTACATAGCAACCAAGATGTGCCTCGCAGAGCAACTTTGTCCTTGTTCACGAGGACAGATCTCAACCAGGACTACAACAAAAGTACGTCCCGATACGGCAGTCAACGTGCACGTGTAGTACTAAATGCCCTACTTCTCAAGCTCACAGTACAATCCTCATCAGTTTCCATATAGCTGAAAAGTTTCTACTGTTTGTTTGACGATGCAACCGACACACAGACATTGCTACGCAAACCTTGACATGACACGGTGCGCACAAGAAGTTCAGAACACACAGTGCGGCAAATGAATGCCCATAGCTGTGCGTACAGACCTGTTGCAACATCTCCCGTAGCTTTGCGTTGCAAGTCCTGGCGTTCTCGAGTGTTGACTCCCATTCCAGCGCATTACCTCTGCACTTTACCAACGCTCCGCGTAGTTTCTGGTTCTGCATCCGTGTGCGGTGTGTTTGGGTTAAGGGTTTAGCGTTTAAGGGTTCCGCATCCCTCGGCGGTGTGTTTGGGTTCAGCACATCAAGATTTTTTGCGCTCAGGGTAACATACTTACAACAGTCCGGAATTAGATTTAACACCAGGAGCGCTACTTTACTTTACTTTTGCGTTGTCATATACGGGCATACGCTGCAACAATACATGCGGACATTGGGAAGTATGGAGGTGAAAATATGTCCAACTTCTCGATATCCGCACAACACACTTCCTTATAACACATACTTTGAGGTCTTATATGACTATACGACGCACAAAGCGAGATCCACCTGTTGAATATAACCGCGATACAATCTACATATAGTACGCTAAGATCATCAGTGTACACAGTCTACGGGCCGTGCCACACACCTCGTCCAGAAGGCCCCTGTGCTCGTACTTCATCATCCGAATGTCGTATGTATCGTTCTTTGCCAAACTGTACGATTGTAGGCTGTAGTCACTCGCCTGACAGAGAGAAACAAACACACCACGAGCTATGAGAGATGTGACTTTATGGCGGACATGGCACATGATAGATAGAGGATGTTCGATGATTGCGCTCATACACAGGCCACAGAAGCCATGCTCGAGAGCTGTGGGCCAATCAGTACGGGCCGCTCACAACGCCCAACCCGACACCAACTATCCAAGACAACTGAATCCGTTAAATCACGAACGCGTTCCTTCGCAGATTCTGACGTTTCATTCAGGCCAGTCAGCACGTCAATGGTGGACGTGGCACTGTCTGTGATCTTGTAAACACTTGTCACTATAACACCACGCAAACACAGGCGGAAATGCATACATGTATCGATCTGCGTATGTGCAAATAGAATGACATGTCAGAAGGTTGGACGTGCGGTCGATGGTGGATCACTAGTGCCGTTCCAAATCATAGTTGCACTCAGACGCAACACAGCGCACGCGTCGTTCGCAAAACCAGTGGCACTGTCATCTTTATCAATGCTAGCGAAGTCTCTGTCACTCGTAAATGCAAGGTTGCGTTAGTGTAGAGTAGCGATCTCATAAAGGTGTAAAGGCCGCGAAATCAACAAAGTAATTTGCAAGCGATACAAAGTCACAATCGAATGAACAGCACGCATACTTATGAGCGAATGACACTAACCAGTGCGCACGAGATCTAATCAACTTCGGGTACATACGCGAGCGTACTACTGAAACCCGGTCTCTTGAAAGAAAGGCTTATATAAGCCAAGACCTTCGGGTACTGTTCAAGTTCGAACCAGTATATATCGACGTACGCAGTAGCGTATATCGTAGTTCACAAACTTAAATAACACAACTCAAAACACACAACGGTGGGAGTCGCTCCCACATCGAGATCGTGAGCAGTTTCCGACTAGTCTAGCCTGTCTTCCGTTTACGTCTGCGGCTATCTTAAAGAGTGGCAGGTACTTACCGATGAGTTTGATATCATCGACAGCTCTCGTCCACGACCGGTCGACGAAGTGTCACCTGTATGTGCAGTTGTGTGCGGTGTTGAAGGGATTGGGGACCAAAGCCAGGTCCAATATATGTGTTGAATCATTGCATGCA